CCCTCTTCTGTCCACCATTTTAGAGAGAGAGAAAAAGAATTCATCAGCCGCTCTCCTATGTGACAGCCAAATGGAAAAGGAAAGGGACCAGGCTGTCTCCTCACCACGTTAGGGGTCAGAGGAAGCAGGCTAGGAAGCGGGCAGGAAGCAGGCAACAAAAGGTAAGAGGAGATGCGAACCTTCCCCGTGCCCTAATGCTGTCGCACTGGGATCAGAATTCCTAGAAATCTTCAAGGCAGCTGTGGAAAAAGGACTTTGGGAAAGCTGGGGCCAGGCGAGGGGGAGCGAGGGGGGAAGGAAGGAATGCTTGCGCAGCGAGGGCACATGTTTTGCTTTGTTTTGTGCTTGCATGCCTCATCCAAAACGTTACACAACACGGAGCTTCCTATAGGTATACCAGGACACTCACTCCTCACATGTCCCTGGGAAAAAAAAAAAAAACCCAACCACATCAAAACAGGACCAGAAAGCCCACCCCACTTACGCCTGCAAGACCCTCATGCAGTCCCCAGCGAGGTACAACACAGATCGTGCGTTAGAAAACGGCCCTTGCCTCGCTGTGACAGAAGTGCCTCCTCGAGACGATCCCCTGCGACTCCCTGCCCCACATTCACTAGCGTTTGCCAGGCACAACTGCTGCTGCTGCTGCTGAACTCTCCTGGCAAACAAAGTATCTCAGATTTTTCTCTTTCTCAGCATGTTATTTCCTGTGAAGAAATAATCTATACCACCAAAGACAGGCAGTACTAACATTTCTAGAGATAAGTCTTTTTATAGCAACATATAGTATATGTAGAAATATAATACCTTGGCCAAAAAAAGAAATCTTGAGCAAAGAGCAAAGTCACTCTGATAAACACCTTCAAAGCTTACTTTCTTTTTTTGCTCAGTGTAAAAAATATTGAGTAACTGTTTGCTGTTCCTAGAAAGAATGGAATTTTGTTGCCAACAGCTGTAGTCTTTCATAGGAATTATAACACTATTTTGAAGATTTATGCTCCTGACAAAGGCATAAAGTTAGCTGAACTAGAGCAGAAAAAACAAAACA